ACAAATATTCGAATGATTTGCACATCCAACCATTCGGCGGAAGGCTATATCTCAGATATATGGCGCCAGATCGGAGCAGGACCCACTTTCCCAGGATCGTGGGGATCCAGACTGTCGTTCGGCACCAAAATCTCGACTTCTAATATGAGGCCGATTTTTTGCAAATTTAATGATGTAACCATCATGATTTTTTGCGAAAATCGTGATGAAAAGGATGTCCTTTTTTCTGGTGCCAATCGGTCGGCAGGACTCTCGTGATCACGCAGAACCATGCCACGCTCCGATCGGCTGCCGTATGGCTGAGATATAGCGTGCAGAAAAAACAAATATTCGAATGATTTGCACATCCAACCATTCGGCGGAAGGCTATATCTCAGATATATGGCGCCAGATCGGAGCAGGACCCACTTTCCCAGGATCGTGGGGATCCAGACTGTCGTTCGGCACCAAAATCTCGACTTCTAATATGAGGCCGATTTTTTGCAAATTTAATGATGTAACCATCATGATTTTTTGCGAAAATCGTGATGAAAAGGATGTCCTTTTTTCCGATAGCAGTCGGTTGGCAGGACTCTCCCGATCACGCAGAGCCATGCCACGCTCCGATCGGCTGCCGTATGGCTGAGATATAGCGTGCAGAAAAAACAAATATTCGAATGATTTGCACATCCAACCATTCGGCGGAAGGCTATATCTCAGATATATGGCGCCAGATCGGAGCAGGACCCACTTTCCCAGGATCGTGGAGATCCAGACTGTCGTTCGGCACCAAAATCTCGACTACGAAAATGAGGCCGATTTTTTGCAAATTTAATGATGTAACCATCATGATTTTTTGCGAAAATCGTGATGAAAAGGATGTCCTTTTTTCTGGTGCCAATCGGTCGGCAGGACTCTCGTGATCACGCAGAACCATGCCACGCTCCGATCGGCTGCCGTATGGCTGAGATATAGCGTGCAGAAAAAACAAATATTCGAATGATTTGCACATCCAACCATTCGGCGGAAGGCTATATCTCAGATATATGGCGCCAGATCGGAGCAGGACCCACTTTCCCAGGATCGTGGGGATCCAGACTGTCGTTCGGCACCAAAATCTCGACTTCTAATATGAGGCCGATTTTTTGCAAATTTAATGATGTAACCATCATGATTTTTTGCGAAAATCGTGATGAAAAGGATGTCCTTTTTTCTGGTGCCAATCGGTCGGCAGGACTCTCCCGATCACGCAGAGCCATGCCACGCTCCGATCGGCTGCCGTATGGCTGAGATATAGCGTGCAGAAAAAACAAATATTCGAATGATTTGCACATCCAACCATTCGGCGGAAGGCTATATCTCAGATATATGGCGCCAGATCGGAGCAGGACCCACTTTCCCAGGATCGTGGGGATCCAGACTGTCGTTCGGCACCAAAATCTCGACTTCTAATATGAGGCCGATTTTTTGCAAATTTAATGATGTAACCATCATGATTTTTTGCGAAAATCGTGATGAAATGGATGTCCTTTTTTCTGGTGCCAATCGGTCGGCAGGACTCTCGTGATCACGCAGAGCCATGCCACGCTCCGATCGGCTGCCGTATGGCTGAGATATAGCGTGCAGAAAAAACAAATATTCGAATGATTTGCACATCCAACCATTCGGCGGAAGGCTATATCTCAGATATATGGCGCCAGATCGGAGCAGGACCCACTTTCCCAGGATCGTGGGGATCCAGACTGTCGTTCGGCACCAAAATCTCGACTTCTAATATGAGGCCGATTTTTTGCAAATTTAATGATGTAACCATCATGATTTTTTGCGAAAATCGTGATGAAAAGGATGTCCTTTTTTCTGGTGCCAATCGGTCGGCAGGACTCTCCCGATCACGCAGAGCCATGCCACGCTCCGATCGGCTGCCGTATGGCTGAGATATAGCGTGCAGAAAAAACAAATATTCGAATGATTTGCACATCCAACCATTCGGCGGAAGGCTATATCTCAGATATATGGCGCCAGATCGGAGCAGGACCCACTTTCCCAGGATCGTGGAGATCCAGACTGTCGTTCGGCACCAAAATCTCGACTACGAAAATGAGGCCGATTTTTTGCAAATTTAATGATGTAACCATCATGATTTTTTGCGAAAATCGTGATGAAAAGGATGTCCTTTTTTCCGATAGCAGTCGGTTGGCAGGACTCTCCCGATCACGCAGAGCCATGCCACGCTCCGATCGGCTGCCGTATGGCTGAGATATAGCGTGCAGAAAAAACAAATATTCGAATGATTTGCACATCCAACCATTCGGCGGAAGGCTATATCTCAGATATATGGCGCCAGATCGGAGCAGGACCCACTTTCCCAGGATCGTGGGGATCCAGACTGTCGTTCGGCACCAAAATCTCGACTTCTAATATGAGGCCGATTTTTTGCAAATTTAATGATGTAACCATCATGATTTTTTGCGAAAATCGTGATGAAATGGATGTCCTTTTTTCCGATGGCAGACGGTTGGCAGGACTCTCCCGATCACGCAGAGCCATGCCACGCTCCGATCGGCTGCCGTATGGCTGAGATATAGCGTGCAGAAAAAACAAATATTCGAATGATTTGCACATCCAACCATTCGGCGGAAGGCTATATCTCAGATATATGGCGCCAGATCGGAGCAGGACCCACTTTCCCAGGATCGTGGGGATCCAGACTGTCGTTCGGCACCAAAATCTCGACTTCTAATATGAGGCCGATTTTTTGCAAATTTAATGATGTAACCATCATGATTTTTTGCGAAAATCGTGATGAAATGGATGTCCTTTTTTCTGGTGCCAATCGGTCGGCAGGACTCTCGTGATCACGCAGAGCCATGCCACGCTCCGATCGGCTGCCGTATGGCTGAGATATAGCGTGCAGAAAAAACAAATATTCGAATGATTTGCACATCCAACCATTCGGCGGAAGGCTATATCTCAGATATATGGCGCCAGATCGGAGCAGGACCCACTTTCCCAGGATCGTGGGGATCCAGACTGTCGTTCGGCACCAAAATCTCGACTTCTAATATGAGGCCGATTTTTTGCAAATTTAATGATGTAACCATCATGATTTTTTGCGAAAATCGTGATGAAAAGGATGTCCTTTTTTCTGGTGCCAATCGGTCGGCAGGACTCTCGTGATCACGCAGAGCCATGCCACGCTCCGATCGGCTGCCGTATGGCTGAGATATAGCGTGCAGAAAAAACAAATATTCGAATGATTTGCACATCCAACCATTCGGCGGAAGGCTATATCTCAGATATATGGCGCCAGATCGGAGCAGGACCCACTTTCCCAGGATCGTGGGGATCCAGACTGTCGTTCGGCACCAAAATCTCGACTTCTAATATGAGGCCGATTTTTTGCAAATTTAATGATGTAACCATCATGATTTTTTGCGAAAATCGTGATGAAAAGGATGTCCTTTTTTCCGATGGCAGTCGGTTGGCAGGACTCTCGTGATCACGCAGAGCCATGCCACGCTCCGATCGGCTGCCGTATGGCTGAGATATAGCGTGCAGAAAAAACAAATATTCGAATGATTTGCACATCCAACCATTCGGCGGAAGGCTATATCTCAGATATATGGCGCCAGATCGGAGCAGGACCCACTTTCCCAGGATCGTGGGGATCCAGACTGTCGTTCGGCACCAAAATCTCGACTACGAAAATGAGGCCGATTTTTTGCAAATTTAATGATGTAACCATCATGATTTTTTGCGAAAATCGTGATGAAAAGGATGTCCTTTTTTCTGGTGCCAATCGGTCGGCAGGACTCTCGTGATCACGCAGAGCCATGCCACGCTCCGATCGGCTGCCGTATGGCTGAGATATAGCGTGCAGAAAAAACAAATATTCGAATGATTTGCACATCCAACCATTCGGCGGAAGGCTATATCTCAGATATATGGCGCCAGATCGGAGCAGGACCCACTTTCCCAGGATCGTGGGGATCTCAGATATATGGCGCCAGATCGGAGCAGGACCCACTTTCCCAGGATCGTGGGGATCCAGACTGTCGTTCGGCACCAAAATCTCGACTTCTAATATGAGGCCGATTTTTTGCAAATTTAATGATGTAACCATCATGATTTTTTGCAAAAATCGTGATGAAATGGATGTCCTTTTTTCCGATGGCAGTCGGTTGGCAGGACTCTCCCGATCACGAAGAGCCATGCCACGCTTTGATCGGCCTATAAATAGCCGAGATATAGCCAAAGTAAAAATGCAAATTAAATCCAAAGCTAAATGGCCGTAAACAAGAAATTTCAAATTTCAATACCAGGCGAACAGAAATTAGCAGAAGGCAACTTCACTTTTGGTCAACCCAAGAGTATGCAACGAAAATTTAATTTGGATGAGTTTCCTTCTAGGGATTTCTGTTCGCCCGGTACCTCGGTCTGTGATCCGATCTTGGCGTGCGATTCCAGTGATCGGAAGAATGTCCTGCTTTGATAGAGTTCTTATTAAGGATAAAGGATATATAACCCGCTTGAACACTTACTTTCCTCAGCCATTTCATTTCCGGTTAGGGCGTGTCACGCACCCTCGAGTCCTTGTCAGTGATCAAGGATATTATATCAAATATTTTCATTCTCCCTGCTATTTATTTGTCGAGCAATCTGTACTTTTGATGAGGTCTACAAGTCTATAGGTCGGTGGCTGAACGCCCGGACACTCCCTGCAACCACTAAAACGTTTGTCGTTGCTGCTAATTATTTATGCCACCGAAATGTTGCCGCCAACATGTTGCCAAGCGCATTGCGTCGAGAGCTCCACGAGCCGCACTTAAAAAATTAATGAGAGCCACTTGAATCGCTAATCACATGTAAGTGAAGCGTTCCCTGGCCAACCCTCCCCCAGAACTCATCTCACTCACTCAGCGGTTGGTGAGGGAGGGGTATGAGGGGGTGACAGGAAATCGTGTGGATTGCTGGGGCGTGGACACAGATTGAACCCTCTGGAGGGTAGCATTTGCGGATTGCATTGTTCGATCTTTATTAACGTATAATTTACTTTCACAATAGAAAACTTATCAATACGAATAGAAATATTTCAATTAATTGGTAAATGGTGGACCCTTAATGTACAACTAAAGCCGGGATTACTTGCCCCCCAGATCCCGATTTAGATCCATAAACTATATCACAAAGCCTCCTTAGTGGACTAATACGCATAGAAAAAAAAAAAAAAACAATTCCTATATAATATTTCTTTCACCTATCGTTCCCTTTGCAGTTCGATATTAATAACCCCCGTAAATTACCCCATTTCCACCCTCTTAGTCTATATTTCAATGCTCTTGGCCTGCAGACTCTTGAGGATGCCCAGGAGCTGCAGAGACTCCAGCGGTTCGAAATCGTCCGCATAGCGGACCGCCGACGGCTTGACCACATGTCGCTCCCTGGGCATGTCCAGTGTGAGGGGAAGCTGCTCGGCCATCACCGAGTGGTGGGTGATCAAGGCCTTGAGAGTGCTGAACTGTTTCTTGGCCCCCTTCAGGCGATACATCTGGGTGCGGGTGGACTGCACCGGGTACGTCTTCACCTTCCGTTCGAGGCGCAGACAGAGCTCGAAGTGGCGGGGAGTGCTTCGGCGGAGCAGGAAGCTGCCCGCCGTCGACTGCTGCAGATGCTCTTGGGCGGCCTTCGCACTGATGCGGGGCTGGTACCAGGCGCAGGCCAACAGTTCCGGCTCCTCATCATCATCATCGTCCTCGGTGCTGTTGCTGCTGTTGTAGCGGGGCAGGGATGTCCGCTTTTTGGGCGAGCTGCGTCGCTGTTTTTTGCTCGCTGTGTTCTCCACCAGCAGTTGGCAGCAGTCGGAGATTCCGGCATCGGAGTCATCCTCCTCCTTGTTGGAGTCGCTTGGCTGACTGCTCTGCCAGCAGTTGAGCGACAGTAGCGACTTCTGGGGCGAGCGTTTGGGCGTGTCCGCATGGCTACTGCTGGATATGGAACTGGTGTTGGAGTTGGAGTTGGAGCTGCAGCTGCAATCGGCATCCCTTTCCTCCTCCTCTTCTTCCGCGTCGGCCTGGTACGAGGAGTCGAGAAGGTCCTGCTGAAGAGAGAAACCATCTGGTTAGTCCTCCATTTTAAATGGAACTTTCTTCGGGGGTCTACTAACCTCATCATAATCACTGGTAGGGTCCTCATTCAGTGTTCGCTCCTTGTGCGAGGGTTGGGCAAACAGTTTGCGCTGCAGAAAGTTCTTCATGCTATCGTAGACCTTATGGGTGCGACTCTGGCTGGGCTCCTCGGCTGGCACTGTCACTGCTGCTGCCGCTGCCACTGCCGTTGGGAACTGCAGTTTGTTGCTCCATTGTTGGCATTTCTCGAAGGACGAGTCATTGTACTGCCCATAGATGTCCGAATAGGCCGGACACTTGATGGCATTGCGTAGCTGTCGGAACGAGAACAAACAAGGTGAAATTGTTGGTTAGTTTTGGCCGAGAGAATTTGTACCAAATGTCACATAAATCTTGTATCCCCGAATATAACAAATCCTGAGCCCCAGCCCCATTCCCATGCTCACATTTTTTCCGTCGAAGAGTGCTCTTATGTAACGAGAACCATTCAGATAACACACCATTATCCCTGTTTTTGTTTCACAGTCTCCTAGTGCGCTTTGTTCTGCTCTTGCCATTGTCATACTCGTACCAATCTCATTCCCATTCCCATTCTCAGGGACCTTTCCCTTTCTCAAATCTCTCTCGACTATCGCCCGACTCTCATCCGACTCCGACTCCGACTCCTGCTAATGCTTTTGGGTCAGTGCCTCCTGCTGCTGTGATATCCTTGTAATGCGCTTGCTCTACTTGTTCATTGTTGTATAATTTGCCAGCCTGTTGTTTTCACTTCTCGTATTTGCCTTTCATTTCGCCCATAAAATATTCATAAGGCAGGCAGGCAGCACATGAGTACCAGAGTACCAGAGTAGCAGAGTAGCAGGGGTTCCGAGGGCTCGAAGGGATGCGGATCCTAGCTAGCTTTCCCTCACTGTCACATGAAAATATTTGAATAATGCTCGCTTTTGACTTTAAACTTGTAGCAGTTCCACTGCTGCAACTGCTGTTCCTGCTGCTGCCGACGCTGTTCCTTGTGGCAAGATAAGGGGTTTCCTTCTACTGATCTTTAATAACTTTCGCCACTTCTAGAACTCAGCGACTGCCAGGGAAGTGTACATGTATGTGGATATGTCGGGTAAGCCATGGGAATTCGAGTTCAAAGGCTTCTATGACAACACCTTGCGGAGACGTGTAACGCAAGTTGTCTACAATGGTCTCTGGACGGATCCCATGGTAAGGGGCAGGGATCCGGACTCGGCAGATCCTGCCGCTTGCCCAGGTCCCTGGAATCCGCTCATCGCTCTGGCTGTTGCTGCTCCTGCTGCATCCTTTGTTCTAGTCTAGTGGAAGAGGGAGAACAGATCTCATTCCGCTGCTGGCACACCCCTTTTTGGCACGAATCGAAATGCTTAAATCCATTGCGTGTGCGACACTTCAGCACGCACACACTCGCAACACTCGTGCAACACTCCAAAAAATGGCAAAATAATGAGCATTCAATTGAATGGCAGTCCGGGACAATGGTCTTCCAGGTAGTGGCTCTCTCTCTCTCTCTCTCTCTCTCTATACGTGGGATAATGAATCTGGATTCAATGGATAAAGAGTAAGGGGAGCGGGAGCGGGAAGAGGGGAGTGGCTCGCCTCTCTCATAATTCAACACATTCAATAAATTCCAAATGCAAACCAAACAAAGGAAGTGTAGACACAGAACTTCCGTTGCACCATTGATTTGCATTTCCAATTGAAAATCTTGCTTATATGTGAATGTGAACGGACAAACCGACCCGACGAAAATTGTTTCTACATCTTGTCCAATGCCCATTAATTCGGAGCCAACGAGCCATGGCCAAAAGAGTTTCTTTGATGTGGCCACGCAGCGCATAAATCTGCTGGAGATTGACCAACAGAACATAACAACAGAACAGTGAGCAGGGCGCAGGGGGCAGGGGGCAGGGGAGCAAAGATGGGCTGGGGGCTGGGGGGAGGGGGGAAAGCGGCGTGAAAATGCCTCAAAGTGTACCTTTTATCGGCTTAAATCAAACACACAATGGGCCAACAAGCGTTTAATGGCTACGATTCTTGCCAGTTACATGAGTTTTAATTTATGCAAGCCAAGGCCCAACCGAACCAAACCGAACCCAACCAAACCCCAAAAAAGGAACCGAGGAACAGTAATTTCAATGATAATAGACCCCAAAGAAGATTCCAAAATGAAATCAAGAGAAAGAAACAGAAACAGAAATAGAAAGAGGAAAACTTGAGCCTCTCCATACAGTAGTGACCAAAATATCAAAAGGTGTTGGCGTTGCCCTCGTTTGATTGTGTGCGTGCTAATGCAATAATCATAGGTCTGGGAGACCTCTTCTCTGCATCAATCCCTCTGTCTGTCTGTCTGTCTGTCTGTCTGTGCCTGATCCTGCCCTGCGGAAAGGTAACTCTAATTGATGATGAAGCATAGCCCCGAGCCCACTGGCACGGCACTCTGTTCGGGCTTCTATCTATCGTATCTCTTTGTTTGGCCTGCGAGGTGTTAGCATATTTTCGTAATCAAAATGTGTTACAATAAAAACTCGAGGAAAACTCAGGTAAGAGAGAAGAGAAGAGCAGAGCAGCCAACGCATCGGAGCACCTTCGACAGCTGACGGACAACAAAAGAAGATAGAGGGAACCCTTCGGTCTTTCGGTCTTTCGGTCGCCCTTTTCCTCATTCCCCCATGCCTTTTTTGGTCTTATAAAAACAGTTGTTAAATTTTCATTTATTGTGCATTTAGAGTGAGTCGGAGCGGGGTGGGGAGGGGAGATCGGGAGGGAAAAGAAAAATTAGTTGAAGTGGCAGGGCAAGATGAGTTGATGAATTTATTGAAATGTTTCCTTTTTGTCTATCCACATGAGTACCGCCGAACTCCGAGCAGCGCCACTTGAGGTCCCACACAGAGGACTCATGGACATATGCCTGAATTTTCAGCCATGAAAAATCAAGCAGCTGTTGAAGGACCCAGGACCCTGGACCCAGGACCCACCCTTCCTGGGCGGCCCAAACCACAACCTGCAGCTTTTCAGTGGTTCTTCCTGGTGGCTATTAAATTGCAACCGCAATAACGCTAACCACTCGCTTATCCTCACAAATTGGGCAATTGCCAAAGCAGCTGTGCGGCCAAAACAAAACTCCTCCACCTTCTGTTTTCCAGAAGCCCTCCTCCCCCGTTCCTGCTCCTCCTCCTCCAGCAGCCCACCACCCATTCCACCCTCTGTTCCGTCCTCTGTTCCACTGTTTCATGGCAATATCAATGAAATTTTGAAGATTCCTTTAGACATTTTCGAATGGAAATTAGTAATATTTCAGATGGTGGCGAGCATTAGGGAAACATTTTTGAATATTTTGTAGACATTTCGCTTTTAGTTCCAGCTAATTTGACAGTTTAATGCCACACGAACGGGCAGAGCAGCGTTCAAAGTGATCCCCGGCACACACGTGTCGTGTCTGTTCGGGGCTTTCAAAATGTCAGAGATACATGGACTCGCGAGTAGTTTATGACATTTTTTAAAAACATGTCTTTCGCTGGCACACACATCTTTCGCTCACCCTCCCCTATCCCCCCCTCGTCATCCTCCAAAAAAGACACACTTTTCAGGGAACCAGCGGAAAAGTTTTTGTTAAACGAGTTCGTTTTTTGGGGATCGTAAAATGATTTTCCCACTAATTTAGTTTTATATGCAGGGAAAATGTTTATGGTTTCGTTTCTTGTGTTTGATATTCTTTTTTTATAGCAATTAGCTTTGCCTTTTGCTGGAAAATCCTTTGTTTAGACACGTGTGGCGTGTGGCATTGGCTTCTTTTTACGGCGTTCCGTTCCGAGGCTTTTCTGTGGCATTTTTATAGGTGTAAAAAATTGGGTCATATAAAAAATTATTGAAATGTGAAACGAATTGAGTTGTTTCTTTTCTGTTACTCTGGCTGTATATTCTGTGTGCGTTTTATGTGAGTTTAAAAAACCATTTTGATGGGTTTATTAAATGCAAATTAAAAAATTGTTGAAATTTTAATTGTATTTTATGGGCGCAGGTCGTTTTCTTTGTATTCTCTTGTGTGTGGGTAGAGAATTCTCAAGAGGGTTTCTTTTGAGGAGGGTCTCCTATGCAGATGAAGTGGAACAACGGCGGGGGATAGGGGTATCCCCTCCATTCGTACAAGTGGCATGGTGTGGTCAAGGCAATGAACTTTTCGAATTTATCATTTTGAGGGTTTGCGAACAATTTAATTAGAGAGACTCTCTCTCGCCCTCTCTCTCACTCTCTGGAAACTAGGCAACTTTGTCCGCAACTAGGGAAAAACTACGAGTACTGGTCGGTATTATGTGCTCTTGGTCTAGTCACTCCAGTCAACTTATGCTGTCTGTACTCGTAGTTTTCGCATGCAAATAGTTTGCCCGAGAGCCGGGTCTAGAGTCGTTTCGTCGTCTAATGCACACACAAATCCTTGGCGGGAAGCCATATGAAACTCAAACAGCTCGACGCGGACACGGGACACGGGACACGGGACACCGGAGCGGTTACGGGAATGGACAACGTGCTGGTGATAACGATGATGTTGGCCGCCTGGTTTGCTGGCCGCCGGACTGTTGGCCAGTGATGGGCAGACGCTAAACCAAACCCAAAACTATTTGTAGCCAGGCCCTACACGTACGTAGATACAGAGAGAGAGAGAGAGAGAGAGAGAGAGAGAGAGAGAGAGAGAGGGAGAGAGAGAGATATATGGACGGGTTGGATATACCGTTGAAAGCTTTTTTGCATATTTGCATTACATTTTCATGGCGTGGCATGTGGCAAACAAAACGAGGGACAGGACAGTGCAGCGGGGGGCACGGGGCGAAACACGAGCACACTGCGAAAATTTATATTGAGTCGAGCGTAAAAATAACAATGCAGACAGATGATGGTCGACGAAGGAAGGCAGACAGTAGACGGCAGACGGCAGACGGCAGACAGCATGAAAATAAGTGAAATTGTTGTTTACTCAAAACGACGGGGCTAGTCCGGAGTCACACTCAGATACAGATCGTCAGATACAGATACAGCAACAGCAACAGCTACAGCTACATTCGTGAGCAGTGAGCAGTAGTTTGGCAAAATATGGAGCATAAATTACAACAATGCATGCAATGCAATGCAATGAAAGGCAATGCAATCCGAGTCTTGCCAGTCGCCGGCTATTTAATTATGCTCATCAATTGTGCAGCTTTCTGTTGCAGTCGCAATTGCAGTGCCCCCTGCCCCCGCCCCCGCCCCCCCATCAACATGCCACTAATAAATCTTTCGGTTTAGTCAACAAGGCAGCGGCGTCGTCTGCTGGTTGGAAATTTCAAATTAAATGCACTTAAAAGCATAGCAATTAATTTCTATCCTTAGAATTTCCACTTACCGATGCGCCGAGCCGAGCCCCAAAATCAAAGCCCCATCCATCCCCCCTTCACATGCCCTCGAAAATACATTTTACATGTGTAGAACACGACCATGGGATATAAGCATTAATCATTGGCCTTGAGGGGGCGACGGAGCGACGGAGCGACGGAGCGAGTGTTCTTATGGGGAAAGTGCATTAAAATGCCTTAGAATTTAAATGCCTCAGCTCATTGCTGCTAATCGTCGCCAGAAGTTGATTTAATTTTAGCTGCATCTCATCGAGAATTATGAGGCCTATCATCCGCCAGACCAGAGCAGTCGATCCCAGCCAAGATCTCCGCAATCCAGCCGGAGCGGCAGGAAGGGCACGATAGACAGAGCAGACCAGAAGCCACTTAGGCAGGGCGATGATGGCGTCGGAGCATGGCACCATAAAGTACCCCCAGAGGAAGATGCCTCAAAACAGATTCCTCCAACAGAAGATACGCATAGTTGTGTGTGTGCCTCGGCTCCACTGTGAGTCTAGGCGCATGTTTATGCAGGAGAGAGTATCATGAAACTATAAATCATAGCTACATTCTACGCTTAGGCGGAGAACATTCATGGAACTATAACTCAAATGTACACATAAGAATTCCGTGTAATTTCGATCGTCGTAGAGGGAGAAAGAGAGGACGATTGATCCACTCCTTTGCCAATACTGATCTCCGTACTATAGTAACTCCAAGGCACAGACATATCAACTCAATTCCGCTTTCAGGGCATCTTTTGCTTTCTTAATTGTTTTAGATTTTAATCTAGGCAATATGGTTGCAGTTCCCCTCCCTTGCCATCCTCCCACGAACAGCACGAACATATGGTCATCTCAGAAACGACAGACCGCGTCCAGCTGACTTCCCAAGCCAACAGTTGGGTGACAATTTTATTAGTTCTGGTCTTGTGCAGCTTGTCTCGATTCCATTTTGAACGAGTGCCGCCTCGTATCTTTGACCCGCGACAGGCAATGCGATGCGATGCGATGCGCTGCGATGCCTTTTATCTCGTATCGTGAGTCGGCTAATTGAAATCGTTTGTCAGCACACAGCCCCATCCCAGCCCAGGCCAGTCCGTTCTGTAAACAGACAGGCAATTCTCTCGGGCAATAGATTTTGATAACGGATGCGGATTCTCGATTCTGTATTGGGGAGGTGTCGAACGATTTACGCTGCCTGAGATATGCTCAGAGATCTGGGGAAGCATCTGAGCGATGGAATTCCAGACTCTGCATTCTTGCACTTTTCAGTTTGAAGAACTCTTTTGTGCGGTTCAAGTCTTCTAGGTAAATCAACTCCCGTTGCGGCCACACCCGTCACAGCGTCAAGCGTCAAGCGACAACAACTTCCTATTTCAAAAGACAATCCTTTAGGGAGCCCAAACACGGCTACACCCACAACAAAAAATTGAATAAAAGGAAGGAAAACAAGACAGATTTCCATAGATCAAAACAAAAAGAATCCGAGTCGAGATAAAGTGGCAGGGCCATAGTACTATGCTATGGTGTGGTGTGGTATGGCAACGGTGTGGGATGGGATGGGATGGGATGGGATGGGATGGGATGGAATGGACTGGCCATGGCCATGGCCCTGTCTCGGGCTCTGGCTCTGGCTCTGGGATGGGTGTCAATTCCCGTGAAAAATGACAGGCGCAGAAGGAACAATGATGGAAAATGCACAGAGCACAGAGCACGGAAGATAAAAGAGGAGTAGCCAGGGCAGAAGGCAAAACGCAAACTGTCATTCAGTTTGAAATTACAAACTTTTTTCCCCAGATTTTGTCGCTCTTTTAAATAAATATTTTGATAAATGGTGAGGCGGTTGGTGTGGTGGTACGGTACGAGTGGCTGGACTGGATGCTGTTGCCTGAGCGCATTGTCACTCTATGTATCTGCAGCATCGGAGAGCGGGGAAGTCAAAGCAGGAGATTAGTAAAGCAAAGTAGCTACCTAAGAAGATTTGTACCCAGATCTGGAGAAAATGAGACACCAGAAAGAGAGAGAGTTGACTTTTTGTATTCAGGTAGCTTCTCAGGTAGTTTGTCTTAATTAAGATATTTGACTAATCTGCTTTTGGGAATCATCATCATCATCAGAGCCAGAGACAGAGACAGACGTCGCCATTGCCATTCCACATAGTCGACTTATAGCGACGATAAAGCCTAGTTAGCGCTTATCGCTAATCAAATACAAATACTCAAATAGAAATCCATTTAGTCGAATCAATCATTATCTTTATGGGCGAAGAGCAACATATGTTTCCATTTCCCCGATCCCACTCCCCGGGTTCAGTGCGTATTCCGTTTGTTTGCTCTACTTATCGCCAGAAATCGCTGCATTTACAATTTGATTTATTTGATTTATTTTCCTGATTTCTGTTTGTTGGCTTAACGCTCGGATTAGGGCTCCTCTTCTACCCCTCCCCCACCCCCTCTGTCCCTATCACTCTGTCTCTGTCTGTGTCTGTGTTTGTTTTATATACTTTGATTTGGTTTTTATGCAAATCATATTTATTTGATTCTATGTGATTTAGTGTTCCACTGATTTACGCCGACAGTCGAGTTTATTATGCTTCAGTGTCCGCTCTTGCTGTGTTGTTGTGGGATCTCCTATCTGTGACACTAAATCATTTTAATTGTTGTCGTTTCGTGTTTTGAATTTCGTTATGCACCCCAGAACCCAACTCCCCAACTCCCCAACCGCCGCTCTCCACAGATGGTCAACATGGAACGGAGTTTACTGTTGATAGTATAGTGCTAAGAGTGCGTGGGTTGTCATGGGCGATACTACTAGGTCGCACTCTGCGAGTGTGTGGGGGAGTGTGAAATCTGAATGGATTATTGGGGGGGGGCATCTGTGTAATGTGTGTGATATTCTATAAACTATGATAGCAGATCTCTTGGATGGTCTAAAGGATATTCACTTAACTGAGATTTTCAGGTGCGTAAATTCCACACAATATGTGTTCTTTTAAAGGATCGATCGTACTCTAGAAGAGCCACGTTTAAATCCCCTTTTGGGCCTTTCATATCACTAAAAGTCCTTAGAGTAGGTATTATCACAAATCTCCCTGCCTTAACTAACTGTCCCCTTTCCTCAGATAGTCCGAAACTATTCCCCCGTTTGCATATTCTTCAAGACTCACCATCTTGTTCTTGGTCTGCGTATCCTTCTTGTTGCGTTTGTTGATGTTATCCGTGGCGCCAAAGCGATTGTATTGGAACAGGCGACCCATTTTGAGCAGTTTTTTGTTTCGGTTTTCCGCTTTGTATGTTTACACTTCACTCAGAAAAAAAAACAAAATACCGCGTATGCCGCAAGAAGTATGCAAAAGTCGTAATCTTGGGAAACTTATGGGGTTCTTTCCGTCGAAATGTGTTCAATAATTTAGCGCGTAATCGAATCAAAGACGAAGTCGAAGTCGAAGTCCGAAGTGAAGGAAGCGAGCGAGTGCGGAGTCCAGAGTCCGGGGAGCAATGCGAGCGATCAGTTCGAAGTGCGCAGAGGGAATGAAATGAAACGCCACCGAATGCATTCGAAAAAGTACAACGGAAAATGAGCACGAGACGAAAGCAAAGAAGAAGCAGGGCAGGCAGTCAGCAGGCAGCAGGCAGCAGGCGGCAGCGCCCATGGCTAGGGCGAGGGTGACTGAGGCGAGAAAGAGAGAGAGAGAGAGAGAGCGAGTGAGAGAGAGTGAAGAGAGAGGAACGAGGGCAGCGGCAGAGATACAAATTTCATGACAGGCAGACGACGTCAGCGTCGACGTCCACCGGCGCTGTTCATGCATTTACCGCTAGTTCTATGCCTCTGTGTGTCTGTGTGTGAGTGAAGAAAAACCAACACAGGCACACAAAGAGCGACCGACACACACAAACACGCAGAGGAACAAACACACACACACACACACACACACACACACACAAGCAAAGTCACACACAGAGGAACGAACACTCAAAACAGCAGCAGAAGCAAAATAGACGAAGAAAAAACCACTCCAACAAAAAGCGAAATGAGAAAAATTTACTACAACTACACTGAGAGAAAAAAATCGAGGCAAAACAAAAAGGACAGTACAAAAGTACAAAATGAGAGGAACTTCTGTTTTGGGCATGGTAGGGCTGGCGGCAAGGGCTTTGGGGCGGCGACGGAAGAGAGTGAATGAAATGCGAGGGCTGTAATACAGACCGGAGTTTGAGTTTGAGTCGGACGGACGATTGCCGGCTGACTGCTGACCCAGGGGTAGGTGAGCGAGTGGTTCGGCGAGTCCTCAACAAGTTGAGTCAAGAGTGGGTGGCTGCAAGGGGCGGGGGCTGGGCCGCTGGCGAGCGAGTCATTCTTTTTGGACAGCAGAAGGAAAAGCGTCCAAGCCAAGTTTTTGACTTTTCATTTCTGTATTGAAGGCTTTGGCGCCCTGTGCGAGTGCTTCACTGTATGCGTGAGTGTTTCCCCCCCTCCCCCGTACGAGTGGGCGAGTGTGCGAGTGTGTCATTGATGCACGCTCTACATTTGGCTTCTTCATTTGCCTCTGGGTGCCTTTTGCTTATTTGTTTAACGTACACTCGTAATCGTACCACCCACTCGGATGCACTGCCTCCTGGGCGCCATTCCCCACTCCGCATTCCCCAGCCCCCAGCATCTCGACTACATTGAAACTTTCAGCTTCTTCTTGTTCGTTCGCCTTTTTGCCCGAGCCGAGCATAAAATAAACACAAAAAACTTTTGCAGTCTCATTCAGCAGTGGGATCCAAAGGTCCCCACCCCACAGCATGCCGTAATTATCATTATCCTTTGCCTCTCGCTTTCCCTCTCCCCCTCTCTCTCTCGGTCGCTCCCATTTTGCGCTTTTCATTCTCGCTTTTTTCCCGTGCTGTTTATACAGGCAACTATGGCACTTTAATTGAAGTCAATTTTTTATACTCTGTGGTAACTTTTACTGCTGCTGCTTCCCCCCAGCCACCCCAGCTGCCTTTTGGAACCATTTTCATTGAAAATAATTTTGCAACTTATTAGCACCTCCGGAAATTATGAGTTCAAGCTTTTTTGTGGCTTGTTTACGAGGCTGCGCTTGGCTCGTTCCATTTTCTCATTTCCCATTTTCCCTATTTTCACCATTTCCCCATTTTATTATTAATTGAGCTGCTCCGCTTTTGGCTTCTGGCGCTCCCCCTTTGTTCCCCACTTAATTAGTGCGACGCCTCGGAAGGATGCTAGTTCCATCAGGAGTGCAGTGCGGCGGATAGTTTGAGGCATAAACCAGCAAAGGATCGGGTTAATTGAAACCGTTTTCGGGGAGGAATATACTATACTATACTATACTCCAGTAAAAAACTGGAGTTTCAGAACAGCTGCAGCTAATACCTGATCAAACCCCTAAGAAACCTAATATATCATACTAAAATCCCCTTTTCTCCCTCTGCCTTATAGTAATCCCATATTTTTGCTACTCTTTCAGGCCTGCCCCCGATAAAGAATTGAATCCTGACAAAAATATTACCCACATTTTGCACCCCTCTGGACAAAATAATTTTTTATGGCAGGAAATCAGAGCCAAAGGACTGCTGATTATAATTAGATTATAACATTAATAAGTCGCTTTAACAAATGTTCAAATTTTCCGCTTTGTAGCCAGCATATATCGCATCATCCCACAGTGCCACAGGGCCACAGTGCCACCCTCTTCCCCTTGGGTGGCGGTGGCATGACGGTGACCCTCCTTTGGCTTAGCTGATATTTTGGCAACAGTTGCGAAAATTGAATTCGGTTGCAGCGTTTAATAAAATATCCCATTTTCCATTGTATCGCATCGCATCGCATCGATGAGAAAGCACTTTCGGGACACTTAAGGAGCGCAACGAGAGTATACTCGTACTCTCGTACATAAATCAAGTGCAACCCCCTGAGAGCCCGACTGAAGAGAGCTGCTGCTCATCGCTCGCTTGTGTGAATTGCAGTTTCATTAGATAGAAAGCTTTTCACTCCCACTCTGAGGTTGATTTGTCATCACAATAACATCAATTTTCTTGGAGATTTTCTTTTTTTGATTTTTCCAATTGAATGTTGTGTAAATTTTGGCAGCTGTTCCCAGAACCCCATCCCCCGTTCCCATCCTCCGAAAGGGCAGGGCAGCACTTAATGTTCGTCAATTATTTGCAGTAATTTGCAATATTTTCCTAAATGCCTCGCCACTCAATGGTGATCCTCCCCTTAAATTGTTTTTAATGGCCATTTGCACTTACAGAGCAGCCATTGACTGCAGGCTACACCCCCGCACTCCCCGCACTCCCCGGACCCCGCACACCCCCGCGTAATGGCTTCATCAGGCTCTCCATCGACAGCGATAAATGGCCTATAAGGAACTCTCGGATTTCTGTTCTGTTTGTTATTGTTGTTCAGGTCGTTGGGTTTTACTTTTCGGCATTTAATTTACGAGTATAGTCGCATCGCATCGCATCGCGTAAGAAAAATAAATGTTAATTTATTGACAGAGACAATGGCAGCAAAATAAGGCTCTTTCGAATTACGATTTCGGTTTCACATCACACACCACACACCACACCAGGAGGCCGACAGCAAGTGTTAAAAATGTAGTTAACTGATAGGCTTTAACAACAATTTGTTTCTGAAAGAAACCAAAGACCGAGTGCAACCAGCACCAGCACCATCGCCCAGACACAGCTCCAGGGCTTCAAGATTGCGTCTGGCTCTGAGTTTGAGTCTAGGGGTCTGGGGGTTTTCCCATTGAAGAATATATGGCCTGCGGTGTCTTTGTGTGGCTTGGAGTTCTTTCTTTAAATTCCACATTTTTTTCTTTCATCTTTAACCCGATTCTCAAGTGTCTCTAGCAATTATGTATCTTTATAAATGATTTGTTAGGGGTGGTCTGCTGCTCTATCTCAAGTGGTTTGGGTCTCTGGGTAATCCTTTATTTTATACGCATACTTATGTATTATCCGTCCCAAAAATTATGTGTGAAAACCATTAAATCTAACTTTAATTGTTTTCTGCTTGTTGCACTGTTGTCAAAGCCTCTGGGGCACTGGCTGTTCGTTTTCCATTTTTCCCATTTCCCCATTTTCCCATTTGGATTTTAAATTTTGGTTTACGACTGCGCGCCGGCAAGTTCTACAGATATTTTTTAATTGCTGCGCTTTGCGTTTTTCAATGTTCTCATTTTATATGTTTTGTGTTTTGTGCTGTGTGTTGTGTGTTCTGTGTGTCTGTTTTCCCCCCTAAACAGAGCCCCGCCCAGCTCCAGAATCATAAATCATTTTGGGGTTTCTTTGGGGGAGGGCAAACATCGCCCTTTTTGAATAATTTTTGTTGTTTAATTTTGATTTAGCTTTGAAGAAGCGGGCAACAGTTTTTCTTATTCATATTTTATAGGACATTAACTTGTCCCAAAAGATAATTTTATTTGACATGGCCTTAGTGGAGAGGCAGTGCAGCCGTAGTCGCTGTAGAGAGGAGACTTTCCATAGTTAGCATTTCTCGATCGATCAGTCATTTATCAAATGTCAGCAAAAGTTTCTTTCACTTTACCTTTTCTTTCTTCCCATCAATCGGACGAGCACCGCCCATTCCCATATTTCTTCAGATAAAAAAAGCGCCCGCTGCATTTTGGAATTTCTCACACGTTTCGTTATATATCAAATTTATGTATGTTGTAGTCGGAGGGGTCTTGTTTATTTTCCCTTGCATTCTCCGTAATGGTTTCGATAACGCCCACATTAACGAGAACTTTCCGTTCGCTTCGGTTGAACAATGAAAACGATTTTCCAGCAGCACAAACAATTATAGCGATGCATAAATTAGGCACAACCCAACTTGAATAACTAATTTCCTGTACGGCAATTACTAAAAAAAAACACAGAAAGAGAGGCAGGCGCAATCTACATACATACATATGTACATGCGAGTAAGGGAACAAAACGTTTGTTCCCTTACAATTCCAATTCCAGTTCCAATTCCAAGACCTATTCCGATTCCAAGACCAAGTGCGCGCTTAATGAGCATATTTGGATGCATGATACATTTAATCGCTGGAAAAATGCACACAAAACGTATCCCGTACCCCGTACTACGTCAAAGAGGAATTTCGAACCAATAAAAAAACGTGACAAAATGCAAGTTTGTGATAGCAAAGTGTGACCCTATTTCCGAGCCAGAACGAATGGTAGTTTTTTATGCGCACACAGAACCGCAGAACCACAGAACAACCACAAAAAGAGCAGAACAGAGCAGAACAGAGCA